CAATGGGCTGGGGCTTCAACGAGCGAAGCCCCCTGACAATTTCGAAACAGATCCGACATGATCCGACAATGTGCTAGGCAAGCCACGTGCGGGGAAGGGTGTACAGCAGGAAAATAGATAGCACAATGGAAGCCAACGAAGGGCTTCTTCTCATCACTCGCTTCTCACTTGAGCATTGCAGCTGCGATCAGCTGCGGCCATGAGAATCCAGTAGGTGCCCTCCCAGATTGCCAGGCCCGGAGAATGATGCAAAGCTGGGATGTGTCACGCGTCGTTTACCATTTGAGGGACATTTGCAAGCCTAATCACAGAGTAAGCACAAGACAAGACTTGAGCACCATTTCCCCATGGGTTGGGCTAAATAGTAGCCCTCGCTGGCTCTAGTGGATGATGTCATTAGCACTTCCATACACTTCCGGAGCACTATATATTGATACACACACATATATATATATATACATACATTCCACTACATAATAAAATAATATAAAATAGCACTGTCAGGGCAAGGCAGTTGTCTAACCAAGATCAAGTCAGTTATTTCTTGGAACAGTTCAGTCAACTTTGGAACCACACATACCTCCTACACCCAGGCTATGAGTTGCACCTCACATCTATCCACCCGCCCCTGGTGCCTGCAGTGCACCCTCCAAAGTTCCAAAGACCAACAGCGGATGCCCCACCGCAGCCAGTTGCACTGTGCGGGGCTCCTCACAGTTCAACAGCGCCTGTGCCGCCAACCCAAGAGATGATCAGTTTTCATCGTTTTGCCTTGGGCTGCTGATGCTGTTCATAGATTTGTCCTTGCACAACCAACGCATCCCAAAAGTCATTCTTATTTCGCACCCGGGGATGTTTCAGAAAAATGTCTCTCTCGATTTTTGGCTCTAGATCCCAGCACGGGTCAGTCTGCTCATTGGATAGAAAAACTCTCTAATGAGGATCCCACACGTTGTGGATCTGTCCCTCACTTCTTGATGCCCATCTTCTCCTCATACTTGCGCTTCTCGGACTGCAGGTACAGGATAATGAGGATGGCGCAGGGCACGACCACTGTCACGATGTTGGCCCACCAGCCCGGAGTGGACACCTCCAAAGCAGTGGTCATCGAAGTCTGCAGCTCAAGCGCTTCTGGCACTGCTGCTCGTGCGGTGCTTCGCAGAGAGCTGGTGGACACGGGTCGGCCACCAAACACGAAGGACTGAGCGCACAAAGTCACAAAGGCCAATGCCAGGAGGAGGGTAGGAAGCAGCACAAGCTTGGAAGCCATTGGTCCAACAAGGGCTGAGCAGTTTCAGTGCTGTTCTTATTCTTGGGCCAACTAAAGCCGATCAAAAGATCATGGACAGTTCCATGGGCCTCGCTTGTTACTGATGGTTCTCCTGTTTCGGCTAATTATATCTCAAAAACATGTGATGAAGAGTCCGCTGTAGATGAGCCCAGAAAAATCATGAAAAATCCGAGTGCCCACTGCGTAGCACAAAACATTCAAAACCAGAACACATATATTAATATACATCATCAGCAAAGAGTGTCACAAGTGCTCAATGCTGGCGGAATGCTAGACCCAAGACACCAATATCATGAATCGTTCATGGAGATTCAAAGTTGTCCGAAGTAGTTGCTTCGAGTTCAAAAACACTCTATGACATATGACCAAGGAAAGCCCGTCTTTGGATTTGTTCTTTTGACTCACCGTCAAATTGTCAAAGTGATAAACCGGCATACTGGACCTCAGTGCCTGAGCATGCCCACACCTTCATCATCAAAAACATCGGCTAAAAATGGCCACTCACTTCTTGATGCCCATCTTCTCCTCATACTTGCGCTTCTCGGACTGCAGGTACAGGATAATGAGGATGGCGCAGGGCACGACCACTGTCACGATGTTGGCCCACCAGCCCGGAGTGGACACCTCCAAAGCAGTGGTCATCGAAGTCTGCAGCTCAAGCGCTTCTGGCACTGCTGCTCGTGCGGTGCTTCGCAGAGAGCTGGTGGACACGGGTCGGCCACCAAACACGAAGGACTGAGCGCACAAAGTCACAAAGGCCAATGCCAGGAGGAGGGTAGGAAGCAGCACAAGCTTGGAAGCCATTGGTCCAACAAGGGCTGAGCAGTTTCAGTGCTGTTCTTATTCTTGGGCCAACTAAAGCCGATCTAATCATTTCATGCGTGCTCCACCTTGGATGAAGGCCCACAGCCCATCCAAATGTCAACAATGTCTTGAACAAGTCACAACCAGCTCACACCACATTCTTCCGCGGCCGGTCTTTCCCGCAAGCAATGACAAAGCAAAGAATACATTACATACTGTATAGAGATGTATAGAGGAGTTGAGAGGAAGGAATTCTAGGAGTCATTCGGTTGCGCTAGTATCATTATTGAGTATGTTTGGGGTGCAGTGAATGCAGCAACTCAATCGTGTCTCACCTTAAAAGGACAGTAAAAACACACTAAAAGCAAAGAAACATGAGTCTTTGCATTCTCCTCTAGGTTCCGTTTGCATATTAGAACTATCCATGAGTCCATGGCTCATCTAGAATCTAGCCAAAAAAAAAACACGACTTGTATACATGCCTTCATCGCAAAAACCGGATAATGATATATATTTTTTAATCATATTTATATAATTATCAACTCTTTGCAGGAATCCGCTTCCACGATGCCATTATCATCACTATAAACATATAAATGATAATAATATATATATATATTATACATCATTATACATCACTTTTCCCGAGCGAGACAAGGAGCCCGATCAAACAGAGTCTTTTAGCACGAGCATGCCTGGATGTTGGTTCCAGCGCACACCTGCCTTCATTACTACCAAAAACATCGGCTAAAAATGGCCACTCACTTCTTGATGCCCATCTTCTCCTCATACTTGCGCTTCTCGGACTGCAGGTACAGGATAATGAGGATGGCGCAGGGCACGACCACTGTCACGATGTTGGCCCACCAGCCCGGAGTGGACACCTCCAAAGCAGTGGTCATCGAAGTCTGCAGCTCAAGCGCTTCTGGCACTGCTGCTCGTGCGGTGCTTCGCAGAGAGCTGGTGGACACGGGTCGGCCACCAAACACGAAGGACTGAGCGCACAAAGTCACAAAGGCCAATGCCAGGAGGAGGGTAGGAAGCAGCACAAGCTTGGAAGCCATTGGTCCAACAAGGGCTGAGCAGTTTCAGTGCTGTTCTTATTCTTGGGCCAACTAAAGCCGATCTAATCATTTCATGCGTGCTCCACCTTGGATGAAGGCCCACAGCCCATCCAAATGTCAACAGCGTCTTATGATGTTAATTCTTTCTGAACAAGTCACAGCCTGCTCACACCACATTCTTCTGCGGCTGGTCTTTCCCGCAAGCCGTGAAGCAAAGAAGACACAGATAGAGTCATATAAGAGGAAGGAACTCGATGAGTCAAGTGATTTCATTTATGTTCAGTTCAGTTGCACTAGTATTATTCACCATGTTCAGGGTTCCGTTTGGCTTATCACAACTGTCCATGCTTCATCTAGCACAAAAAAAAGAACTTGTATACATGAACTGGTCGCAAAAAAAAAAAGGGATAACAATTAACTCTTTGCAGGAATCCGCTTCCACGATGCCAGTATTATTATTATCACTTTTCCCTTGCGAGACAAGGAGCCCGATCAAACAGAGTCTTTTAGCACGAGCATGACTGGATGTTGGTTCCAGCGCACACCTGCCTTCATTACTACCAAAAACATCGGCTAAAAATGGCCACTCACTTCTTGATGCCCATCTTCTCCTCATACTTGCGCTTCTCGGACTGCAGGTACAGGATAATGAGGATGGCGCAGGGCACGACCACTGTCACGATGTTGGCCCACCAGCCCGGAGTGGACACCTCCAAAGCAGTGGTCATCGAAGTCTGCAGCTCAAGCGCTTCTGGCACTGCTGCTCGTGCGGTGCTTCGCAGAGAGCTGGTGGACACGGGTCGGCCACCAAACACGAAGGACTGAGCGCACAAAGTCACAAAGGCCAATGCCAGGAGGAGGGTAGGAAGCAGCACAAGCTTGGAAGCCATTGGTCCAACAAGGGCTGAGCAGTTTCAGTGCTGTTCTTATTCTTGGGCCAACTAAAGCCGATCTAATCATTTCATGCGTGCTCGACCTTGGATAAAGGCCCACAGCCCATCCAAATGTCAACACCGTCTTATGATGTTAATTCTTTCTGAACAAGTCACAGCCAGCTCACACCACATTCTTCCGCGGCCGGTCTTTCCCGCAAGCCGTGAAGCAAAGAAAACATATATAGATAGAGAGTCATATAAGAGGAAGGAACTCGATGAGTCAAGTGATTTCATTTATGTTCAGTTCAGTTGCACTAGTATCATTCCCATGTTCAGGGTTCCGTTTGGCTTATCACAACTGTCCATGCTTCATCTAGCACAAGAAAAGAACTTGTATACATGAATCACATGAACTGGCCGCAAAAAAAAGGGATAACAATTAACTCTTTGCAGGAATCCGCTTCCACGATGCCAGTATTATTATTATCACTTTTCCCTTGCGAGACAAGGAGCCCGATCAAACAGAGTCTTTTAGCACGAGCATGACTGGATGTTGGTTCCAGCGCACACCTGCCTTCATTACTACCAAAAACATCGGCTAAAAATGGCCACTCACTTCTTGATGCCCATCTTCTCCTCATACTTGCGCTTCTCGGACTGCAGGTACAGGATAATGAGGATGGCGCAGGGCACGACCACTGTCACGATGTTGGCCCACCAGCCCGGAGTGGACACCTCCAAAGCAGTGGTCATCGAAGTCTGCAGCTCAAGCGCTTCTGGCACTGCTGCTCGTGCGGTGCTTCGCAGAGAGCTGGTGGACACGGGTCGGCCACCAAACACGAAGGACTGAGCGCACAAAGTCACAAAGGCCAATGCCAGGAGGAGGGTAGGAAGCAGCACAAGCTTGGAAGCCATGGCAACAGGAATCAGTCGCAGGAGGCTTCTCGAATCACGCCCTCTGTCTGAGCCAAGTTGCTACAACGAGTCCACACAGGTTTTAAATCTTTACAGCACGTGTGCTGTGTGAAAATCTATTCTGCAATTTGATGATTCATGTGTTCATCAGTCTGGACCTCAACTTTAATTGATTCTGGGGTCAATGAATATCGCGATTTAAACTGGCTGTGCATCAAGACTAGCCACAAGGTTGGGGGAAGCATGTGGCACAGTAGGTTCTTGCTGGTTTTTGGCATCGCCATGTCATGTACAAAAAGCGTGCTATGCGCAAGTGGCATGCACGTCGCTTTCACCCACAAAAGACCTGCTGCTGGCCACTCACTTCTTGATGCCCATCTTCTCCTCATACTTGCGCTTCTCGGACTGCAGGTACAGGATAATGAGGATGGCGCAGGGCACGACCACTGTCACGATGTTGGCCCACCAGCCCGGAGTGGACACCTCCAAAGCAGTGGTCATCGAAGTCTGCAGCTCAAGCGCTTCTGGCACTGCTGCTCGTGCGGTGCTTCGCAGAGAGCTGGTGGACACGGGTCGGCCACCAAACACGAAGGACTGAGCGCACAAAGTCACAAAGGCCAATGCCAGGAGGAGGGTAGGAAGCAGCACAAGCTTGGAAGCCATTAGTACCCTGTCAGTCTTCCCTTGACAAGCTGGTCGGGTGGCTTGATCTGCAGATGTCTTCCGGTGATCACAAAATGGAAGAAGCAGTGATTTTCAGATATCTCTCTATAGCATTTCTTCGCCGCATGCACAATTCTTTGAGATGAATCTGGAAATTTCCGGCGTGCACCGTGCACCAAGATGGAAGGTATGGAAGAATATGGCCCACAAATAGCCAGGCAATGTCAACCTCTGTTATCCCACAATTATTCCCACTATTTTCCCATCTTCCCACTATTTTTCCCACTATTTACCACGGAAAATTTGGATGTTTCAACCAGTGGATTGTGGGGTACCCTCTGCCACCATGCCTTCAACCGTTCGAGCGGCGCAGCACTAGGACTTAGCCTGGAACTGGAGGGTTTCAACCAATTTTCATGCTGCATTTGCTACTGACATTCTTTAATCGACACATATGTATAAATGTATGCGCGTGCATGTATATACTATATATATATATAAGCATGTGTGTAGTAGTATAATAAGAATAATAATGATACTAGTATCTAAATGTGTATGATAGTAATGTATTATGCATATGTGTGTGTGTGCTACGTAAATGTATACTTTGTGTGTGTGAATCTACTTTTGTTAACAGTATGAAAATCGGATAGTTGAGTTACAATACATGCCATTTCACTGGATAGTGTCTGATCATCTATGCATCAGCCCCTTTCACTGGGTTGATTTCTAGGAACATCTACGGAAACGGAAACCAATTGGCTTTACCAGCCAAAAAGGCGGCTTACCCTCTGGTCATCATTGCTTACCCTTGGATCATTTCTTTTCCCCAGCCAGCCATGCTTGCCATGGCGAGTGCAGCATTTCTGCCCTGGACTCCGGACTCCAAGGCTTCCCACCTTGATAGCGTGAAGCGCTGACAATTTGCCATGTCCAGCTCCTGAGCGAGATTCAAATGAAAAACACATTGCCTATTATCTACATTACCTACAGTACACATTAATAGAGAGAGAGAGAGAAAGAAAGAAAGAAAGAAAGAAAGAAAGAACATGCATTAACATGCATTAACATGCATTAACATGCATTAACATGCATTAACATGCATTAACATGCATTAACATGCATTAAGATGCATTAAGATGCATTAGCATACATTAACGTACATTAACAGTAACATACATTAACATACATGTCACACAGAAGATCTATCTGTCTGTCTGTCTGTCTGTCTATCTATCTATCTATCTATCTACCTACCTACAACATACAATGTCATTTTTACGCGGAGAACAGAAAAAGAACAAAAGCATTGACTAAATATGTCACGATCAAATCCCCGTCACTCTCCAGCAAGTAAAACCAGTGGGGCCATCACCATATCCTTGTTGATTGGTTAGTATAGGGGGTATACTACCGGAGCTATTGGGGATTATGATGGGTAATGATAACCTATAAATACCCGTGACAAATAGGGATATTCCTATTTCAGAACCAGTATGATGGGATCAGATAGAGTATTTTTCATGTCTCACGCTGCGACTCACAGGTTGTCTGCATCTTTCCGGGCTTTGTTTGCTTGTCATGTCTGCAGCTGAGTGCTGGACCTTGCCATCAGAGGTCCTTAGCTTAGCTTCCAATTGGAGATATATGTTGCTGTCACCTTTCAGTATACCTGTTAACGACCTCCGAACATAGCAAAGAACACAAGGAGGTGCTCCATAGTTGGCCAAGTTGGTTTAACAACTCCAACAACTATATGGTTGATATATAATGATATTATCGAACTAGTCAATGAGGCACCACCTTGCAGGAAAATGCAAAGAAATCACTCTCTACATCCAACGCATTCCAATGCGTCCTTTTTCTGAAATAGACAGTGAACTCAATGAGGGACAGCTGTCCGGATATGACGGGGTGCAAAAAAAAGATCAAAGGGATGAGGCTCTAGTCACATGTTTACCAAAAGATCCAGCTATGTACAATATTCCTCTCAAATCTCCTGACATGCTTAGTCCCATTCAGATCTGCTTGCAATCATGAAATTCCTTCTTGGCTGGTACTGATAGGACTGGGCCGTGGCAGCCGCGGTGACTTCCTTTTTTTCGTTTCCTCACACGGCTGGACTCAGCACGAAGAAACATTCATCGCCTCAGTGATCAATTTGTCCAGTTCCCAGGATGTCCTATCAACTGAATCAACCGAGGCCATAGTCATATTATGTCGTATTCATGATGCATTATGAAGAAAGGATTCCCGTAAACATTGCTTGAACAAGCCGCAAGCCCCAACCTTCTCACTCAAGATAGGCAAAATAGCATCAAATAACTACATAAACCCTAGTTTGGACATCGCATACGTATAATATACGTATAATAAATAATCCATGGAGTGCAGGTAAGAAAGTCAATCCCGTCATTCATATAGGTCCAGCCACACCCCGGCACACCGAAGCTGACAAGTCACAGACTCGCACGGGATTCGGATATCCGATGATCGCCAATGCCAGCCGCTGACCACTACACTGGCGACATGTCCGTCGCCCACAGGCGCGACAGTGATGCCGCCGGCGACAACACGTGAAGGATGTTGAACAGAGTTGGCAAGCCACCTGGGCAGCAGGTCTAGAGACCATCAAATCTACAGGTTCTTTGTGTAGTTAGTGTTTTTTTTGCTAGAAAGAAACAAAAAGCAAAAAATAACAGAATCTTGAGTTCCAAACCCCCAGCCCTGGCTTCGCACCAAAGTTCATTCTCGCTCTAAAGTTCATGCAATTTGGCTGCACGCATTTCCTGTTTCTGACATCTGAGCAACGTAAAAAAGACGATTTGGGTGAACTCATATGACCGTCCCCATTTCAGACCCCCCCCACAGACATGATGGGTTGTTGCACCTGCTGCTCGTCTGGGACCCACCTCACATCGGCTATCTGGAAGATGCAGTTCAAAGCACTTCAAAATTTATGCAGGAAAGGGATGGAAAGGGGCAAGCACCAATCAAACACCAATGATAGATATGTGCACACCATTGTACACCACTTCTGAATCTATTTAACTCTGCACACACCCTCACACACAGGATACCCCCTTTGTTTCATCATGCTGAGACTCGCCGTGACCAAGCCACTTTGGAGCCACCGGTAGCAAGGTGCCCGAGGAAGATGTGAAGGAGATACTGAAACTTCCCGCGTTTCCGGGTTTGGAGTCTAAAGTCGATAAAGTCGCCAGTGCCAAGGAAGGAAGTGCCAGCAACGCCTGGGAGCTCAGGGACGGGAAGGGCGACTTCGAAATTGATCCTGCACATTCCACACTGAAGCAAAACATCTCCACCTCTGCTACAGCTCCATGGCTTGCACTCCAGAAAAAATAGAAAATCAAAAAGAAAGAAAGCCACACAAAAATTGCAATTTGCAATAGCAACCTCACATACCAAATCGTTCTAGCTTTGTGTGTATGTATGTCTACATATGTGTAGACTCCCCTCCGTGTGAACCAATTTTGAGGCTTGAAAATCTCAGAAATTTCTAGACCACCTTGATGAAAACATTCTGGTTCAGGTTCTCCGTAATTCCATTGGCGACCAGCCATTCACTGGCCGAGTTTTCTTGCCCCGTCGCCTGGCAAGGACTATCCCTCCATCGACCAATGTCACTGGTCCAGGAGTCCACCGTGATGTCTAGTAGGAACCACTAAGCAATACCAAAGAAACCAAGCACAGTACATGACCCAATTTATATCAACTTAGCTACAAGTAAACTAATTATCATCCTTTCTACTGTACCACCTTTCCAAGCACAAAAACGGCTAGCAACCAATGACCTCCGCCAACTCCAAAAAGTCATCACGCAAGCAGAGGCTCTCGATCTCCAACATTGAGAAGATCGCAGAAACCCTCTCCTGTCAGGTGGTTTTCCATAGCCACTGATCAACCATTAGGCGGCATGGTAATCCATCCAGGCATACTGTCCTGGAATCGAAGGCCATTGGATTTATCTGCCCAGATTACCAAGCACTTAGGGTCAAGCATGCGGAAACGCAAACATTCAAAATGTCAAATCTCATGCAAACCCTGGATGCATGAACCACCTGGTGGTCTAACTATGGGACCTTTTTCATTTGAATATTTGATCAGCAATTCACCATTTTCGGGTGACCCTTCAGTCGCTCCAGCGGTGTCTCGCCCAACAGAAGGGCCACCGCAATGAGGGCATGCTTCCTCGGCATTGAACAAAATTGCTGTGTGTCTGAGAATTCGCCACTACCGAAATTACAATAATTAGGGATGTAACCATCAAACATATGTATGGATTTAACGAATGAAAGATTGATGGGATGGATGGGTTTGTCTGAGACTTGGGGGTTTACCCTCAAATACGGCAATTTTAACAGGAAAAATGATGATCAACTATCCATTTTGGGGGGTACGCCGGATACGCCCATGCTCAAACAAACTCAAAAGCTGAGGTCTTGAAGCTGAAAGAAGCACAGCTGATCTTTTTGCATAATGCAATTTTTGTTAACCCAATGCAAACCTCAATCTTCTGTTGGTTCATGCCTTCCATTTCTTGTCAAGCTAGGAATTGTGTTTCATTGCGTTCTCCAGATTTATTTAACATAAGGTTTTTCAAAGGAATCCCATTTTATTGCTTGTTTGAGCTTGAAAGCAATAGCCGGGCTCCGGGAGCAACGAAAAAATGGCTGCCCTCAGCTAAGGAGCAGCAGCACCATGCCAGAATGGGAGGAATCAAGATCCACGAAAACCGTGGAGAGAAACGCCTGCGGCCAGTGGGATGTCATGGGTGATTTTGGAATCATGGTCACTTCAAAAGCATCATTTTTGGAGTCCGGTGCCAGGAGGATGAGGATTCTGACCATTGCACCATTGCGATTCTGAAGTGATGCGCAGCAAAACATGACATGATTGGAATCAACTTCCCCCACCAAAGGTGACCGCCCCCAACGATGAATAGTTAACAAACCCTTAGTGGCTGTTGTGAGTACTAAACCCTCAATAAACCCTTTTTTGGGGGGGGATCACCTTTTGGTGGACCTTGAATCCCCATGAAACATCATGCTTTACCTTCCAACTACAGCCTTTTAGATGATTTTTCATTTTCTATCATGAGAAAAACCCAGTCTTGTTGGTTAAATTACCATTTAAAACCATTACCATTTGGTAATTTAACATAGCTATTGAAAATGGTGATTTATAGATATTTATAGTGGATTTTCCCATTGAAAATGGTGATTTTCCATAGCTTTTTGTATGTTTACCAGAGGGTATGAGGTTGGTTCAACCACCATCCCACAATATCCCACAGCTTTACATAGACCGCTGGAACCTCCCAGGTCGAGCTCTTCACCCCGATCACGTCCAGGTGATCTGCTGCCAGAAGCATCAAGAAGTCCAGCTGTGACACCTGGGACAAAAACCAGCTGGGCATCAAATGGGGATAGTATGGCATAAATAAATGGTGATATAATACGATATAATATAATATGATTTTTTGAATGCTCTGGCATATATATATATATATACAGATGTATGTATCGATTTAAATATACATTATACATTTATATTTATGTAATTATTTAATATTATTTATGTAGTTATATGTAATTATTTATTATTTGTTTATCTATTTATAGGTAATTGAGTTGTCATGGGTACTGTCAAGGGGTTGGTTGAAGGGAAAACCTATCAAAAACTACAGGAAACCGTAGTTTTTACCACCAATTGTAGGGAGTTTCCTCTATTTTCTGGCTCCAACCAATCCAATGATAATGGGTACTGGGCCCAATAACTTCTGCATGTTGCCGGTCGAAGGACCAGTTAGGTCAGAGTTTCGGGTAGGTTTTTTTCGTTGACCCTTGGCAACGAACCCACAGTCTCTGAAGCAGCTTGGAAACATCTCGATGCCGCTCATGTCGCCACAATAATTGCCTCAGCCAGGTGCTGGACTGGACTCGAGGTACCGGGTATGTACTTCTCAGCCGGAGGCCGCCTTTGGTCAAAATGATCTGAACATATCTGAACTATTGTCATTCTGCTATATTCTGCTGTTTTTCTTTGGTTTCTGCTGATGTTTCTGTTCATCTTACTTTTTAAGATGCACTGTATTTGAAAGCGCCATCAAGCGTCATCCATGGTTCAGCCCCAGTGGCATTTCACGCAACAAGCTTTGCCTTGCGCTTCTGTCCTGGCCAAGAGCGCCCCAACTCGGCCCTGAAGCCACATCTTATGGGAAATTATGGGAATATTATGGGAATACTATGGGATTTAACTAGCAAATATGTGAATCTAATGGGAATATTATGGGAATTTGACTAGCAAATATGTGAATCTAATGGGAATATTATGGGAATTTGACTAGCAAATATGTGAATCTAATGGGAATATTATGGGAATTTGACTAGCAAATATGTGAATCTAATGGGAATACTATGGGATTTAACTAGCAAATATGTGAATCTAATGGGAATATTATGGGAATTTGACTAGCAAATATGTGAATCTAATGGGAATACTATGGGATTTAACTAGCAAATATGTGAATCTAATGGGAATATTCGAATTTGACTTATGATTTAACCATCAAATGGTGATACTCATTGATTTTCAATGAAATCGAATGGGATTTTTTGCTGTATGCTGAACAGGGCTGCTCCCGCCAAGTTTCCCTCGTGGCTTTGATTTACCTGTGGGTTCCGGGTGTGCAGTAGGGACCCTTGCTACCACATTGATTTTGTTCAGGGCATGCCAGACTATCGCCTGACTATTGCCTCAATTGCCAGGCAATTGACTCGATATCTCTCTCTCATCTCGAGTCATCTCGAGTCATCTCCAGTCCTCCAAGACCAGCTGTTTCAGCCTTTTTTCCTGCAGTTTTTGGTTCTCCATCTGCCTTCGCTGATGCGACTCGGCCGCCGACTGCTGCAGCCGCTGCTCGATCTCCTCCAACTTCTTCGAAAGTGTGGAGTCCTGGGAGGGGCTGAGGCTGGAAGGGGCGCAAGGCTTGGCAAGGTATGTGCATACATACGGATGTTGATTAATCATCTGCACACATATTGTTTTATATACTTTAGTCGTTCAGTGAATTATTAATAACCCCGTCATTGACTTATTCATTCATCATCATTTATTCATTTAAATGACGTAGAACTACGCAACAATACAGGGGCTGACAGTGGAAGAATGTTGAAACCAGCCGCCAAGAGGCTGGTAAGATTTCAACACTGGCAGCGGCCGCTGAGAGCACCACCTGTTTTAATAGGCGTGATCAGGCGCAAATTTCCCCGTGGATTGCGGTACCCCGCAACAGCTATGGACAATAGATCATTCACCTATTAAAAATGATGATTTTCCATAGCTATGTTAAGTTGCTAGCGGGTAGTGTCCCAAGTAAAAGGGGGGAAGCGTAACCCCCTATATTCATGAACCAACTGGGGGGTGTGAAACGTGACATGTTGCTCCTTTTGAAACACTGCAGTCATGTCTTGTGGTGATTTGTAGGTTGTGTGATTTCAAATCCAAGCTAGAGACGTCAGTGGCAAAGTACCTCTGATGAGGTAAGCTGTGATGATTATCAGAGGTTCTTGCCAGCAAAGTGCAGGGATTCAGAGTTTCTGTCATTTTGTATGCTTATTTCTTTAAAAAAAAACATGGGCTAGTGATTAATGTGTTGATCCCGTCTTTGTGTATGCGCCTGGCCTATCTCTGAGGCCATGTGCACACAGAAAACAACATCAACATGACCATCTCCCTCTGGCCCTGTTGACTGTAGTTACAGTAGGATCATATAGAATCACAGTGTATATAATCCCCATTAATTCTCCATCATGTGCATGACACGCCGATGGCATGATCCCTGAAGTTGTTAAGGATATGTCTTTGAAAACTCGTCATGGTAAAACACCCCACATTCATAGTCCTCTCCATAGTCCTTCCAAATCTCCAAATCACCCCATCGACACCTGCGCATCGTAGGTCTGTTGGAAGGTCTTCTGCAAGGCCTCCATCAACTCTGGGAGCTCCAGCGAGGCACCGCTTGAAGCGGCCGGCAGCCGTGCTGCGGTCTGTAGGACGAAGGCGGCCAGGGTGCGGAGCAGGAAGATTCTGCGGCGGATGGCACCATGTTTAAAACATGGCGAAATAGGAGTTACCCTCTGGTAAACTAACATAGCTATTGAAAATGGCCATTTATAGTGAGTTTTCCCATTAAAAATGGTGATTTTCCATAGCTACGTTAAATTACCAGAGGGTACTCATGGTTACTATGGATTCGTATATGAATCAAATGATTAAAGAACATGTTAAATATTGTTTCCATGATGTCCCCATTCTGTCCCCATTATGTTCCCATATCTTCCGATGATGGTTGATGTGGATTTTATAATCCCATGATTTTGTTGGATAGCCCCTAATATTCAACATCTTCATTCTATGGTTCCGGGATGGTGTTTACTCTTAACATGGGAAGATATGGGAAGGGAATTATATAAAAGTATGTGAGATCAGGTACGAGCAGGGCAGGAGATACAGTAGGGTCCTAATGGCAAATCGCCGCATCATGCCGCATCCATCCTTTGGGACCCTAATAGGCCGTACAAAAGAACAAACTCTTACAAGAAGAACTCCCAGATTGGCAGACGGACCAATACCAGGTGCCAAAAATCGGCGACTCTTTCAAACATCATCAAACATCCAAAATCTGCAAAAAGAAGAGAATTGATGTCCCTTTCTGGCTCGTCCTCGGGTTGCTGGAATGAAGAATGGCCCGCCAACATTGCAGAGTGGCATCAACGGGCAATCCGCAGCATGAGAGCAGCGTGCATAGAGGCCGTGCAAAGATGACCGAAGAATATCCTTGGAATTTGGGTACCCTCTGGTAAACTAACATAGCTATTGAAAATTGCCATTTATAGTGGATTTTCCCATTAAAAATGGTGATTTTCCATAGCTATGTTAAATTACCAGAGGGTAGGCTCTTCCCTACCGTCGCCCTACCGTAGATGGAGGATGAAAGCAAAGCCCTGCTGTATTGTTGTCACCGCCGCACCCCCAAATTTCAATGTTGTCTTTGGGCTGCGCACTTGGGTCCGGTGGACAAAAAAAATCAAACCCTGAACGCAAAGGAAGCTATAGAGAGAGAGAGAGAGAGTTTTGTTCAACATTGCAATTTGGGGTGTGGGATTTTACTTGGTAGATATCTGTCGGGGTTGATTTGTTTGTCCATCTACTGTAGGTATCCCAGATATACATAGATATACTAGAAATTACACCCACGAAGAATATTGTCCAGCAGATCCATGGCTCTGGGTTGCAAGTGAAGTGCCCGAATGAAAGGCTAAAAGTGTGGTTCCGGCTGCTAGCCATGTTTGACTAGCAGGGGGTACTCACTGCCTGGGTTTGTCCCAAAATATCCCAAAATGGGAATTCCCAAGTTGCCATTCGAATTGTTCGCAACATGATAAACCATCAAGACTCAGGTACCATATTTTCAGACATACCCATTTACCCTCTGGTAATTTAACATAGCTATGGAAAATCGCCATGTTTAATGGGAAAATCCACTATAAATGGCCATTTTCAATAGTTAACTTATGTTAGTTTACCAGAGGGTAGTTGAAATCCCATGAAATCCCAAGTTTTCTCCAAGTCACCCTCGGAGCTACGGCACAAAGCAAAGAGCTTCGGCTCCAACTGCGAGGCCAACCAATCAATGCCTCGCTGATTCCCCACATGGGATGATGGGCTTACCCTCTGGTTATGACTAACATAGCCATGGAAAATCACCATTTTTAATAGGTAAACCCAGGTAAACCATCTATAAATGGGCCATTTTCAATAGCTATGTTAAATAACCAGAGGGTACATCCCTGATGACCATTGGAATATGTTGAAAAAGGGTCCATATATAGATGGCCCAGTATGGCTCACAGATGTTTAGCTGATGTCCATGAACCTTGGATTGGACCTTTAAAATCCTTTAAACAAGACTGAACAAACAACAGATTCGGAATACTCGGCCAGCCACATTCACAATCGGCGACCGCGCCCTGGAGCATGTTCCCGGACACAAAGTGCGCCGCCACCGACTCGGCTAAGGCTGTGAGGCACCAGAAGGCCTCGTCACGGCCCATGGTGCAACTCAACACCGCCGCGGTGAAATTCAGGCCCTGCGTGTAGCCCACGGTGACCTCGGAACAAGCTGGTGACCTGTTTCCATCATTTCCACCATGGATTCTATGGTCCAAAATGAAAAGATCCAGGTGAACTGAACCAAGACTGGTTGGTTGTTGAAGTTTATATCAAAAATGAATCAGAATCAATTAACAATCAGAATCAGAATCAGTTGCAACTTGCAACCAATCAGTTTTCTTATACTATACAATAGCACATGTAGATAAGAATCAGAATCAGAGTAAGAATAAGAATATATAATCACAATGGCAATAATGACAGTGGCAAGAAACATAACAACAATTCAAGTAAACATAAATCAATGACAGTAGTAGCAATAGATAGTAATAAGAATAACAGACATCGTCAGATATATCTAAAAAATGAACAATATAACAAGTCATGGATAATAACAATAGTCAAAAGATAAGAGGCTACATATATAACAACAATAACATAGAATCACAATGTCTCAACCATAAATCAACACTAGCAATGTGAACAAAAAAAGGTCGCCGGGCCATGCCGGGCCACGTTGCGGGCACAGCACAGCATCCGCAGAATGTCGCGGGAGGACCGGGCCAAGGCCGCTTCGCAGGGATGGCCTGGAAAGGTGCGTGGCACATCTTTCTCGATCTCCTGCGAAGGTCACGGTGCCCTCCTGGTGCCCCCAAAAGAGAGGCCACAGTAGGATGTGATAGGTATTGAATGGTGATTTATTGATATTTATTGGTTATTTAATGGCAGTTTGTGGTGATTGAATGGTGATTGAATGTGTATGCAATGGGGATTTTTTGTGGGGATACCCTATAAATGTGTCATCTTCTGCGTGGCTGGCTTGAAGTGAAATCACGGCACTCAATGGTGGGCTTATATAATATAAGGGGGAAATCATCGAACTACCCTCTGGTAATTTAACATAGCCATGGAAAATGACCATTTATAGTGGAATTTCCCATTAAAAATGGTGATTTTCCATAGTTATGTTAAATAACCAGAGGGTATATTGCGGTATATTTAATGATATTATTTCCAGCCAGCCACATTTGATTACGGGTAACATGCAAATAACATGTAAGTAATACAATCGATAAGCATAACAGCATAACTATTAACTAACCATCAATGCCCATTTATAATATATTATAACCCACATGCAGCATACATGATCTTCACGACTACTGTATCTTCTTGCTCAAAAAAAAAAACATTTTCAATACAAGCCCTGGTGGGATGTTTGGCTCCAGATGCTCCAGTCCTCCGCAATGGTCTTTCTCTGTGCCCACTCTGCTTGCGCACTGTGTGGCAAAGCCACTCCAGAGAGCCAGCGGAGGCCCAGTAGGTAGTTCTTGTCATCCATGCCTGCAGCTCAAACCACGACACCCCCCGTGTCAAGCATGATCATCAGAATCTCTGTTACCCACATGAACATCACAAACACATTTAAAAGAGGGAAACAAACAATATACAAAAAGTAGTAAGTAGTCGGAAAAACCGTAGAAAATGCCTTTTTCCACATAGGGGAAGTACCATTGAACCAGTCCTAGTTTTCACAGCGTGGTGAAAACCACTTCCACTTCGCAACGCCCGCCTCGCAGCTCGAGTCCCTCCAGCAGCCATCCGCGAAAGCCTCCGTAACGCTGAACACTTTGTAGCCACTGCTGCCGGGGCCCTGAGACCCATGTTGCGTACCTTGGGCCGGCGCCAGGGCGGATTGCATTGCTTAGCAACTCCTCAAGGAAGGTTATATAGTATTTATTATTTGGAGCTGTCTGCGTCTACATCTTAAGTGTATATACTGTATATGTATATTTAAATATATCTGTGTGCGTGTCCGTATACAGTATACAATATTCACGAAAAGACTGTGCGCGCATGATAGTTCGTCAATGATACCTATCCCCGCATCATCCTAAATTCTCCAGCTCCCCATTCATTCATATCTTTTCATTAATATCATTAATCTCTTCATTCATTTTCCATTTTTTCCCTGTTTCAAGTAGCACGTCATTCATCTTTTCATATCTTTTCCATGCCACGTGACGCCTCTTCGTCTTCGATGGGAAACAGCCATTCATCGAGGCGTCGATTGGAAAAAACGCCCGAGCTTCGTCGATGCTGCGGGGTCCAGGTCCGGCTGCGGCTGCGGCCCAGCTGAAGACCGTCCAAAGGCAGCTGGGCGGCGCGGTTGAGACCTGCCCAGATTGGAGGGGTACCCGAAAAGAAACATAGATGTGGAAAAGCCATGGTTTCCTGTTCGGAAAATCATCTAGAAATGGTTGTTGTTCCTTATCTATGTTAGTTTACAGGAGGGCAATGCGATAATAACAGGACAAAAATGGGATAATCATGGGATGAGAACGGGATAATCACAGGATGATAATAGGATAATAAACCATAATAAACCATAATAAACCATAATAAACCATAATAAACCATAATAAACCATAATAAACCATAATAAACCATAATAAACCATAATAAACCATAATAAACCATAATGAGGATTATAACCAGCAAAAGTTGTTTGTTTCATTCAATGGATCGGTTGGAAAATCTACCTGAAACCATGTTTTTAATCACTAAATATGGTGTGTATCCTGCCGATTTTCCCTTGAACTGTTTCATATGGGCTTGTCTGAAAATGGTGCTTAAATGACTAAACCCTAAATAGCAACTCTAATAGAAAAATGATTATCAACCAGTAGGTTTTAGGGGTACCTTACTTTCAGACTTTCAGACAAACCCATACTTGTTCCGTTGCATATCATACACATTTTTTTGGCCAAAGCCCTGGTCATACACATAAGTAAGAAAACAAATCAATAAATAATCTCAAAATGACTTGTCTTTGCTCGTCGGGCATCTATGGTCCATCAAAGCAGTGAAAAATATCCAGCCATGGGTAAAACACTGTTTTTTCTTACTAGTAGTGTTTCCTCTGAAACTGCTGCCTTCGGTTATGAAGGGCTGATGACTGACCACTATCTACCACTATTTAATCACCACTGTTTCATGCCTTCACCCATGAAGCTGCTGGATCGCAGGCTGCGCGTTTCGCTGGTGGGGAATGACATGGTGATGGATGGTGTGAAGCGATTTTGGCCGAATGGTGGAATACATGTCAAGTTGAAGGATGTACTTCTGGAAGTTTTGAGTCAATGGTGGCATCATGATTCCAAATGAAAACAAGAGTCTTCAGTGCCAATGTTTGGTGCAGTTATATAGGTCCTTCTTGGGCAACAAGCTTTGGCGGCACCCCCTTCATAGCACTTTCGTTTTTCATGGACTGAAGCACAAACGCAACCAGCGGCTGCCGCTGGCAGGCTTGACCCACAATGAGAATCCAATAGCAGCAGCATGCATCTTTCAAAATCCACACGAAAAGATCTAGAAGAGATACTATGGCAAACTACAGCAAACTATAGCAAACCCTCATACCAAAATGGAGGCGCAAAAACCCTCAATGTTCCTATCTGAACGCGACTGGGTGGCCTTTGCCCGAGGCCCCCACCAAAGCTGCAACTCAGCCTTTCACCAGGAGATCAAGTCTCCGTGCACTAGCGTTCATCTTCGTGAAGCAGCATAAAGAAAAACAACCATTGTATAATCATCATCATATATATATATATATTGAAAGTATCCAGGTAGTATAAACACTCATAAATACTTTTTGGGCCAAACTGACCCAAAACTGTGGCTAAAGGGATGGTAAAACCTCCGGCAGAAGGGCCGGCGCAACTCAAGAAACCCGATTTCTTGGGTTTTGTGGCCGGCAAACTTAGCGGCAGAACCTGTGGTTAACTCTGTGGGAACGAAAAGCCATGGCATTTGTGCCGGCAAGTCGTATGGCAGAGCATCCGAAGCAGTGATGGACAAGCAAAATTAGGGGCAAATGTGCCGGCAAGAGGCCCGGCAAAGCGCGCGAACTAGCTCTGGCCAAGCCAAATACACGGACATTTTCAACGGCAAATGTGTTCAATGCAAAAGATGAAAGTTGGTACATGTTGGTACGTTTCAATGTGGAAAAGCTGAACAATGAAAATCTCTATTGCATCCCCCTCTGCATGGGGTCCCAGCAAAAAAAGATCTGCTACTCCACCAGGGAAGCAATCTTATTATATCTTATTGGTGTTTTTTTCCATGAGCTGACTTGCACAATGTCCGGGCATTTGCAAAAACCGCTTCTTTGACTTTGATTGCCGCAACCTTGGCAAACGCCTGGCAAGAACCTTGCACAATCCTAGCAATAGATTGAAGGGTGAGTCGGGAGCAGGAACCTTGTTGGCGGAAACCCGGCAAAACCCGGCACAACCCGGCGGAACTGAACTCAGCGGAACCTAGCGGCACCCGGCGGGGCGGCAGAACCCAGCGGAACCCGGCGGAACCCGGCGGCCCGGCGGAACCCGGCGGAACCCGGCGGAAACCTGGCGGAAACCTGGCGGAACCCGGCGGAAAAAAAGTAAGTTGAAGGGGGGGGTGGTTGGGAGTATAATTTTTGGCATGGTTTATACTCCCAACCACCCCCCCCCCTTCAACTTACTTTTTTTCCGCCGGGTTCCGCCAGGTTTCCGCCAGGTTTCCGCCGGGTTCCGCCGGGTTCCGCCAGGTTTCGCCGGGTTTTGGTAGGTTCCTGCATGGCGGGTTTCCACCAGCCTCGGGCTTCTGCAAGGTTAGCGCGAAGCCGTCAGGTTTGCGTCAAGTTCTTATTCCCAAGTTTCTGCCAAGCCCCCGCCGTCTCCAGCGCAAGACCCGTCACAACTAGTCACAATTTAAGCGTTCTTTTTCCAAAACAGTTTTCAGCTGAATTGTCAGCTCAGCACTGCTTGCCTGAGGGGCGGCGGCTGCTTGAGCAGCTTTGCTCTGAAATCAAGGTCCACGCAACCAACTTGTCCAGTCCAATGCGCGGCGCTGGACGCTGGAGACCTTTAACCGTCAGCTTGGCAGGCGCTAAGAGCGATAATGAAAACCCGGTATGCACCTGGTGTCTTGAAGTAATGCCGGGCACATTCCAACTTGGAAGCAAATAATGATAAATAATTTATGGTGGTGCCAGGTTGTGCCTTTTGAGGCAACATTTCTACTCGTTTGCTGCTCTTTTTTGCTTCGCATTTTTGCTAACTTGACCGGCACGTTGCCGCCTAGTTTGCCGGGGGTTCGGCCGCCTGCTTGGCCAGGGCCGAAACCACGATTTTCATCTTGTTTCTGGGGAGTGTTTATACTCCTAGGCTTACTCCAAATTATATATGTCCATATCAAGCCCCACGGTTTTGTAGTTCTGTTGCTCATCTTGATTCAGTGATAACACTGTCATGTCTAGGTGACAAGTCACAACACCCAATGCCAGGACATAGCAACATGGTGCCAGAAGCTGTGGAAGTCATGAACGAGTGGCTCTGCAGAATTTTCCGACCCGGTACAGCTTGTACAACCTATGATCCGGTTTGGTAGTGTTTGGAGGGTTTTGTATGACTGACTCTTTAACCGGTGCTGGGGTCAGGTATCGGTGGATGCAGCATTTTCGTACGGAGGCAATTCTTGTATCGGAACATGTCAGAACAGCTCAGGATTGCATCAGAGCCTTCCATTCGGACTGTGTGCGAAGTTGGATTCAACGCTGGCCACAGTGCCCTGAGATGGTTGCTGCGTACCAAAGCGAAGGCACACATCATCCGTGCTGTCCATGCTCAAGGAATGGGTACACCATGGTACATCACATTCCAACATGAGGGGCAAGGAAGATCAAGGAAGGACGAATTAGATAATTAGTGGATTGCGTTTCTGGATTTATTGAAGATTCTACTATACGTGCAGAAATATATTACATCCCCATGATGTACAGCGAGGTGAGCCCAATGCATTCCTGCGTATCCGATGCTTTTGGCTCAAGTGAACAGGCGCTCCGTAGCGCTCAGGTTTGTGAGTAAATAGTTTTGCATGCAATGGTAGCGAGATGTAGCGAGAGAGGTTCGAGACAGGGATTCGAGTGATACAACTGAAACTCTTGATTTCGGAGGTGGTGAGGAGCCGGTGGCTCCTGGTCCCATCGTAGGGGCCAGCGACCCGGAAGAGGTCGAAGGAGCTCCCTTAGGAGGAGCAGAGGCCGCGGAGGCGGCGCAAAACCCGACGAAGCGCCCGAAGGAGGAGCTAGGAGACCCTTTGGGATTGCACGAAGGAGAGGTCCATCCCCAAAAGGCAACCACTGCAAGTCGGTTTGTGTACGCCTACTCGCTGGTGGCGCTGGTCGATAAGGCCGAAGAAGAGGAAAGGGAAAGGATCTATAGAGAGCGGGCCGAGGAAAGAGCCAAAGGAAAAGGATGCAAAGGAGACAAAGGAGCCGAAGCGAATGGGAAAGCCGAGGGGTGGGGCATGCGGGGAACCCCAATCGCCGTTGGAGGAGCGCAGAAGCACTTCAACGAAAGAAAGGCAAGAGAGCCAAGGGCAAAGGAACCGGAAAGAGAGGAGAAGGGAAGCCCATAGTTGAGTCTCCCACACATCTTGGACGCATTTGGCCCAGGAGGAGCTTCTAGTGAAGCGAGGGCACGGAGAAGAGTACCAGTGGCATTGAGACCTCGGCGACAAAGACCACTAGGAGTATCTGAATGGCCGCAGGAGACCAAACCAAAGGCAAAAGGACCACCACCTACACCTAAAGCACGACAGGTTGCTGTCTACGCTGGTTCAGGCGGTGTGCTGACGTGAGCGGGCGAGGGAACAGGACGAGGAACGTGACCAGCACAGGCAAGCAAAGGCCGCAGGACCACCAGCTCTAGGATTTTGGAACATCAGCAGAGCACACTTTCACATACTTTTATGGCATTCCGAAAAGGACCATCTACATCAAACTACCAGATGAGGATGCGTCGTACACAGAATCTGGTGAGAAGGAGTGTGGTCTATTCACGAAGTCCATGTATGGGACGCAGGATGCATCCAATATTTGGCAGAGTCATCCCACCAGCTTGCTGGAATCGGCCAACATAAAGCGAGGCCGTTCGAACGCAAGTGTTCTATCGTGAAAGTGATGGAACAAGAATCGTCGTACACGGTGACGATTTCCTGGTGTTGAGCGACAGCCAAGGACTACAGGAGATCGATGACCTGTTACGGAGCGCATACGAGCTGAAACGGCTCGGCACTTTAGGGTTCGAGGAAGGTGACGACCGAGAAATCCACTTTTTGAATCGTGTGATCAGAGTGGGGAAACACAGCGGTCGACAAGCAGTCTCCTTAGAACCCGACAGGAGACATGTAGATCTTTTGATCCGAGAGTTGGGTCCGGAAACAACAAAAGGAGTGGACACACCCGATGTGAAGAACTCGGTGGACCAGAAGATGCTGGAATTCAAAAGTCCAATCCTAGGAAAAGACCTCGCAAAGACATACCGGTCATGTGTGATGCGAGCGGCATACCTATCGCAAGACCGCCCTGACTTCACATACGGTGAAAGACCTCGCACGGGGAATGGTCAACCCTACTGAGGCAAAGTGCAGCGATCTTAAGAGGCTGGGTAGATTCCTCAAGAAATATCCAGACTTCATTCAGATCTTTGCAGAGCAACGGATGCCAAGCCGTATCCGAGTGCAAGTGGACAGCGACCATGCTGGTTGCGCTATGTTGCGCTGTCACCCGAAGATCTACGACCGGGATGTTGGCATTGTTCGGAGCGCATACACTCAAACATGCCAGCCATGCCCAATCGACCATATCCCTTTCCATAGGCGAAAGCGGGTATTAGCCTTGGTGAAGGGGGGAAGCACGGCGTTGGGCATACAATCGCTGTTGCAAGATCTAGGACTTGACCTGCCAGCAGAGGAATCCGACTCTAATTCGGCAGAAGGAACGGTGAGCCGAATAGGACTGGGAAAAGCGAGGCACATCCAAACGAGATATCTATGGCTGCAAGAACGGGTAGCCATGAGCCATTTGAAGGTCGTGCATGTACCTGGAAAGAGCAATCGGGCAGGCGCATTGACCAAGAGCGTGCCCGGGGTACAAAGCCCGGGGTACAAATGCGCAACACAATGGAAAGGTCAGATTACCCATACTTGACAGAGCGGAGTAAGGGTCAGATGAAGCTATTGGACTCATAATCCAAAGGCCTTGGCGAGACGCCACTACCCAGGAAGCCAAAATAAAGTACCGCAGGTAGAGGGTTTTTATACGAACTGGATAAGCCAGTTCTTAGGTAAGGAGGAGTGCAGAAATCTATCACCATAATGTACAGCCAGGTGAGCCCAATGCACTCCTGCGTATCTGATACTTTTGGCTCAAGTGAAAAGGCGCGCTCAGGTTTGTGAGCAGATAGTTTTGCAATACGTTTTTTTTGATTCTTGCTGAGAGAGAACAATGGTTGCAGCATATTCAGCACGCGGGGTCGCAATATGATGCCATGAGGCTCTGACCTTGGCTCCCGATGTCCGCTCAGGTGTACTCATTTGACTTGGGAAATCACCCGTACGCGCGGCCGGCGGCAATGTGGCTATCAAATCAGTTTCCTGGGACGCTCGGCAGAGACCGCAGCCCAAACCAGTTGCAACATCGTTGTCGCCATTGCTGTTGCTATTCCCTTGGTCACTTGTTGTTTTACTTGTAGTTTTTCTTGCCACTGATGTCCGCTGATTGGGTCTCAGTGACACAGGTCCGCAGTTTTTGTGACCTTTTCTGAGGCGTTTGGACATGACCTGGGGGGACTCACTTGCGACAGTTCCCGCATTTCATCGGGAACATCCTGATGTGAAGCCGCACCCTTAGTGGACAAGTGGACATCAGTGGACGAGGATTAGGCAAATGCAGAATTTGTTTTGGTTTCGGCTTTGATACACTGGAAAGGTGTGAGCTCATCTTCATCGATGGCGGCCACAGCTATGATGTGGCCATTCGTGATTTGAAGAACTTCGCAGCCTTGGCGAATCTGAAGAACAATGTCCTACTATTGGATGACACCTTCCTTGATGATGTCCGTCGAGCGTGGGATGAAATGTTGGACATGGGCTATGTTGAAGAGTTCCTTTCCCTAGTTGTGGCATGTTTTGGAAATTTGGATATAGTTTTGGGATGTTTTTGGCCCAACTGCAAAACTTTGCTATGGGGTCTTTAGCCCAGATTAGCCCAGATTAGCTCCGGTGCGATCCGGTGCAGCTTCAACACCAGGTTCCGGACAAGGAGGGTTCTGGTGCAGATACCTCGTGAGGTTTCGGAGGGTTCCGGTGCAGATACTTCGTGAGGTTCCGGAGGGTTCCGGTGAAGATACTGTGCGGTTCTGGAGGGTTCTGGTGCAGATACCTTGTGAGGTTCCGGAGGGTTCCAGTGCAGATACTTGGTTGGGTTCTAGAGGGTTTTGGTGCAGGTACCTGTTTCCGGTGCAACTACCTGATGAGGTTCCGGAGGGTCTAGGTGAAGATGCGTGGTGAGGTTCCGGAGGGTTCCGGGGCAGATACCTTGTGAGGTTCCGGAAGGTTCCGGTGCAGAGACCTTGTGAGGTTCCGGAGGGTTTTGGCGGAGAAGATGCTTGGTGAGGTTCCGGAGGCTTCCGGTGCAGATACCTTGTGAGGTTCCGGAGGGTTCTGGTGCAGATGCTTTGTCAAATTCCAAAGGGATCCGATGTTTTTTTTTTTTAATGGCATAAACACTTAATTTTTATGGCATAAGCGCTTAATTTTTATGGCATAATCACTTTTTATGGCAAAAACGCAGAAGCCTTCAAGCTGTTGGGGATAGCACCTGAGTTTATTGATTTTGTATGATTTTGTGCCATTTTGGAATTTTTGCGCATTTCCAAGACTAAACGCACAGCACGATTCTTCTCATGCTCTAAGATGTGAGGTTTCGCAGCTACAACGGGGAAATTAGCGTGGGGAGCTATGGCTTCACCTTGGGAAGATACACTGAGCGCGCGTCGGAGTTGACGACGTTGAGGGAGACCTGACGGCGCCTGGAGAGATTGGGCCAGGGCCAAATATCTTAAGTCAAAAAGAAGGAAGAGATGGAAAAGAAGGAAAGATAGGAAAGGATCATTAGCAGTGGGACCTTGTGCAAGATTTGCGTGCACAATCCTCAAACTGGCTGTATATTGGTTGTATCATGTGATACAGATACTTATTTGTCATGGGAATGCTGCAACCTGGTGGGGCTGGTGGGTTGGGGGTCCACCAACTCGGGAAGTGTTCTGCACCGATCCGCGTGATTTGCTCAAAAGCTGTGCACAAGAAGTACGAGGAGTCCAGCAGTTGCAAACTCGCCACTGCCAAAGCTGGATATAGCTGGATGCCGGATGATTGCAACGCAAATTAACAATTGCAGAGTGCCTCCCTTGAAATATGAAGGTGGTACTGTTTGAGCTACAACAGCGACCACGTCCACAGGAACATGCATATGAAATGTAGTCAGCCACTTGAAATGATGCCTTAACAATAGGTGTCCACACCTGCCATGATGCTGGGGGACTCGACATGCCGCGTGAGGTCATCACAATCCAGGCATTCGGTTGGAGTGCGGTTTTATGCCACTTAAAACCAGTCCATCGTGGAACCCCAAAAAACGATCAATGGTTTAATGTTTAATGCTATTGGAATGGTCATGAACTATCATAATAGCTATGGCTGCGAACAAATCATTGGTTGGTGGGACATCATGACAAAACCATGATCCATTTGCGGCCAGTTGCATTGCCCCAGGTTGGCCAATGTGGCAATCAGATTGGATGCAGATTTTGGGACCTGGCCATTTGTCGGCATTCATGCAACCGCTCTGGCGGGTCCTTAGCACCGCCAGTGTTTATTGGTTATGTTGGGTGCTACTGGGATTCAACCTGCCTGTGGTACTATTCTATACTAAAACATACTAATACATACTAATACAATATGCTCGAATTTTACTATCATAATACTTATCTACCATATTCTAGCAGTGCTTAGTGTGTATTGCCTGTATCATGCATTCTGAACAATACTTCATCAGATTCATCAAACTCTATTTTACTCTAACCGTGATAGAAGGTATGTTGATTTCCTAGTGAATCTCCCAGGTGCTGCGCGAGCACGCGTTCGTGTCCAAGACTGCGGTGTATGATGCGGCATTGTCGTCCTTCTTCCGAAATGTGGATACGAGACATGCAAACCTGCCTGGCCTCCCTGTGGGCGACCAAATTCGATCACTCAAGGCCAGATGTTTGTTGGTGGATATGGAGGAGGGCGTGGTCAATTCCCTCCTCACAGGACCTCTAGCAGATTTATTTGATGCAAGGCAGAGAATCACTGACGTCTCTGGATCTGGCAACAATTGGGCACATGGCTATCATGTGTATGGACCAACCTACCGAGAAAGTATACAGGAAAAAGTGCGTAGGTCAGCAGAGCAGTGTGATTCATTGCAATGTTTTTTCCTATTGCATTCCTTGGGTGGTGGGACTGGCAGTGGTCTTGGAACCTACATCTTGGAAAGCTTAGAAGATCTAATGCCCGAAGTCTTTCGCTTCGTTTCCTGCGTGTGCCCAGCGCGCGAAGACGACGTGGTCACTTCACCCTACAACAGCATCCTGGCTATGCGGCCACTGATCCAATCAGCTCATTGCGTGCTGCCCGCCTCCAATGACTCGTTGGCAAACATCTGCAACCAGATTTCCATCCGAGATGCAGAGGATTCCAACACGGCCACCCTGATTGATTTGCCGCAAGATGAACGTCAACCCCGTCGTGTCCCGGCAAAGCGAAGTCGCTGCTAAAAAAGGTGCTTCAGTAGCCAGCCATAGCCAGTCTGACTTATTAAGCGATTGAGAACACAATTTCAATCAATTTCATTCCTTCCCTCACTTCTTTTGTTATCCAGTCATACCAAATCCATGTGGGCAGACTCTCACTGCAAAACCCAGGCGCACCGCGAGCACCTGGCCGCCGTACTGCCCAGTCAGCGCCACCCAGGAAGAGGTCGGGGCCTGAGAGGTGTTGCAAAGGTGGGGGGAGAAATCGAATTACAAAGATGTACCAAGCCTCTTTAAAAAATCCAGAGTAGAGATTCGTGAAGCGTTGACCTTGATGAAAGATACGGATTGCATCGGCTTGCACTAGTGATTGCTAATGGACTACTGTGAAAGTCAAGACCTGCTGCCACTGTGATCCGGGGTCACGGTCACAGCGTTTCGTGGCAGGCCGCAGGCGGAACCAGAGACACCAGTTGCAGTGCCACGCTCTGCAGGGACGACGCAACCTGCCTCCAGCAGCTCAGGGCATGCGGATTGGTGAAATCACGCAATGACTGGTGAGTTGACCGTAGTTGATATCCAGTAACTGGATGTAACATCATGATGTAGTTAAAAGAATTGTTAAAAGTTAAAAGTTAAAACTGTGATTGACATTGATTGACTATGTTTTGAGTCATTTGAGCTGTTTTGCCTCAGGCGGCCTCCTCCCATTGGTCAAGAGCGCCCTTTTGATCGGATGAATTCCTTGGTGGCCCATTTGCTGAACAATCTCACCAGCTCCATGAGATTTGAGGGGTCGCTGAACCTGGACTTGAACGAGATCACTATGAATTTAGTGCCGTTTCCGCGGATGCATTTCCTGTTGGCTTCCATGAGCCCCTTGTACTTTGGCCGCGATCCGCGCTTCGTTTCCAGAGGCCGAAACTGATAAGCTTCAGGCTTCAGAGATGAAAGAAGTGAGAAGAGACAGCAACAAGATCAACAAGAAAAAACGTGGAACAGTGGATGCCAGATACATGATATATATACATGATATATCATATGATATATCATGATATTACACTATATTACCTCATACAAAATGACATTGCAATACATTGATACGTGTATATATAATTATGTATATATATAATTATATATAATTATATAATTATTAACTGATGTGTATTGTTGGATCAATGTTCCCCTGCGACACTTGCATCACTGGTGTTGATCTGCCAGGCTTCCACCAGATGTTTTCAGAGGTGATCACATCAGGGCACCAGCTGATGAATGTGGATCCCAGGCCCCGCCTGATGGCAGGGGGATGTTCATGACTCTTGATGCCTGCATATGCCTGCAAATATCATGCAACTATGGCATAGGAATAAGATAATTTTTCCAGCATCTTCAACTTTCTTTGGTCCGTTGTGACCATCATGAAGACCAATGATATGAATTGGTTGTTTAGCTTGGTCACGAACAGGGGCAGCACCTACATGGCTCTGGCATTTCTGGTTCGGGGCTCTGCCTCGATTGCAGACGTCAACAGTCTCTTGGCAGATTCTGTGCCACGGTATAGCTTGCGAACTAGTTGACTAATGTTAACTGTATACTATCGTAACAATGGCTGAGTTTCTCCATCCATTTCCCACCGCAATATATATATACATGCACACATACATATGATATACCGCAATCATAAACTACATTTTCGGGTACCATCACTTCAGAGAAAAAGAATGACCAGATGTACTAGCAAAGCCTGTCTCACTGCAGGAAATATTTTCCAGCTCCGCAAGAAGCTGAAGCTTTTGCCTTTCAACGAAGATGCTTTTAAGACGCTTGGTCTCATTTGCTGATAGATTTTAGATTTTTCCTATTTCCCAGAGCTCTACAAAGCCACTACTGTACCAGAAACATGTCACAATGTGGGATTGTAACGGGGAGATTGCTGCAAGGTTGTTGGACCACAAGGTTCATTGCTTGGTTTCAGTGCTGGAACACACCCTTTGCAGATTTTGCAGTCCAAGGATTGGCCTTTGCAAGGTAGCGCCACGTGGTCTTCCATATTCGGTTTTGCACTTGGGAAACACTTGCGCGGCGCACCAGATGTTCAGTCACACAGCCACGAGCCTGGACTTCTGAACATTTCCGAAGAATTTGTTACACTTTTCTGGAGCTGAGTTTCAAATGTTTCAAGATCAACCTGCAGCACCAAGGTGAAGGACTTCTCACGGCTTTACAATCGCAAAGCGCATGTGCACCACTATACCGAGTACATGGAAAAGGGTGAGTTTGATGAGGCCTTCGAAACTGTTAATGCGTTGATCAAAGACTACATCCATTTGGATATGTTGCAGCTTTGCTGCAATATAGAATTAATATAGTTTCTTTGTCAATTTTTCTTCATTTTCTCCACCGTCTCAACTGGTCAGCATGGATTGTTTCAGCATCCGAGCCTTGCTGGTACGCCACAGAACCGAGGCATGAGACACCAGCTTCCTGCTGCCCACAGCCTGCTCAAAGTGTGCGGAGCGCCGCAGCAGTGCTGACACCCTCTACTTGGGCCAGTGCCTATGACGGCAATGTCAATTTGCTCCAGCCACAAGGCAAACTTGGTACTTTCCAGTGGCAAACAGAATGGACAGCCTTTTGTCATTGAACTCCGCTTTTGAGGTAGTGCAGCTGCTGGTGCTTCTTCTCAGTTCCTTCCACGGCCAATCTTGTGACCACGCGAGGGAAAAAAGCTCCTCATGTGCTGAATGTGACAGTTTCTAGTCCCCCGGTTGCTTTGCATTTTTGCACGTGGCAGTTGCAGTAGATGTGAGCCTTGTGCCATCAAGAATGAAAACATGAGGTCGATTCCATCCATTCGCTTCGACTTGGACACAATCGACGGAGGTGTGTCATTAAAGTCTTTGCGACGATTGGTCACTCCTCCGTTCCGCCATTGTTCTGCCACTCAAGCCATTTTCAGGCATTTTCAGCGTCATTTTGGGACCCGATGATTATGCAGAGGTACGCGACATGCAGAGTGCTGATTTCGTTTTTCACCTTCGCACCAGCCCTCGACAAAAGAATCAAGAGGCATTTAATCCACGCTGTGGGCTTGTTGCCTTAAAGCAGGTCAAAGGTTCAGATTGCGCATTCGCTTTTCAGTCGTGAGCTCGGGTTCATCAAAGTCGTGCAGCTTTGACGTGCAGACGTTTGAATTCACAAAAAGGCACTGTCGGTTTGAGCCTAGGCCAGTGGACCTCCCACCCAACTTGGGCCCCATGTGGGTCTTTGGGCAGACGGCGTTGAGGAAAAAATGCCAGCAGAATCTCAATTCGAGCATCGCATGAAAAGGCTAACCTTGAGCTCACGATAGCTCCTGGCAGCGCAGGAAGTACTACACCATCTACGATGCCAAGAAGTGGCATGTCGGCATAGGCCAGGATGATCTGAAATCAGATCAGCGGATTTTACTGTGTATTTTACTGTGTATGTGTGTGCATCTTGCTGTAGGGGTTGTTGCTGTTGCTGATGCTTGTCACCACATGTCATCAACATCTCGCTATGTCCTGGCAAGGTTTGGCCAAACACACGGCCTGGGCGCCAAGAAGATCCAAAAGGCAGCCAACAGCAAAACCCAACCCCTTTCAGATTGGCAGTTTCATTTCATCGCTGATGAGGTGAAGAAGCGACAGAGCACCCTGGTACAGGAGGGTGAGCCACCACCAAAGAAAGCTGAACCAGAGGTGAGGAGACACCATGCGATGCGAGAGATGAGGCTATATATGATTGCGGGTGTTGGGCGACTTGTTGTGGAAGTTGGAGGTCTGTGAGGATGACAACAAGAACATGGTTTCCGCCTCAGACATTGCAGATAGCACAATCTGGAATGCCACAGATCACATGTATGAGTTTCCCTTGCAACTATTTATTCATTTCAGATATTTCAGGAAGATCCACCATTGCCATGAAGGGGATGCCGTTTGCATGACATTGGCCGCCGAGGTCTGGAACCATCTTCCAGGATGCAAGTCCTTTGCACGCCGGCCAAAGGGAAAGCATATTGCTGCATATTAATCCATATTAATATACACACACACACATACATATATATCAATACTTATCAATGTCTGTGTCATTCAGCGTCCCATTGTTTTAACATATTTTTCCCAATACTTTTCATGGCTCTTTTGCGCATCTTGTTTGAGGCTTCTATGGGGTATTGCCATCGATTTTCACCCCTTGCGAGCCATTGTGCCCAGTGGATTTGCCGAAATCTGCCACTTCGCCCAGTGACCTGAAGACATCCGGAAGACTTGTTGGCAAATCTGAACTGAGGGAAATATTGCCGCTTGTCCTGCGCGTTGTGTACGGTTGGCAGCGCCTGCCCTGCTGGTTTCCCAGGAATCCCTTCATGGATTCCCATGGCCTGGTGCCAGGCAAGCGAAGCACAGCTGGTCGGAGAGAAAGACCTCCAGGTTTGCGCATGAAATTGGGCTAAAGATGGCTAAAGGGCTTGATTCAAAATGGATGCAATGGGGCATGGGGTTTCCATAGTTTCCAATTTTCGATGATTTGGATTTCCGATGTGCATTTTGATGCATTTTGTTCTTCTCATTTGGAGGATCCACTGAAAAAATTGGAAGAATTGGGTCAAACATGTCTGGCCAGAAGTCTCTGTCGCTCGAACGTAAGCCTGAAAGGAAAGCTCCTCTGCATCGGTGCAGGCGGGATCGGGCATTCTGTGTGGGCTGCTCAGTGGAAATGGAAACATCCTGCCAAGGTTGCTGGCTCTGGAATGAGCCTTTCAGGGGCTCGCCGTGGTGCCTGTAACTCAGCACCTGTCATCTCCTGTCATCTCCTGTCATCCTAGGATATCCCCGTCCAGGAGATTTGGGCTTCCAAGACTTTTGTCAACTTCTTGCCAGCTGAGGTAGTTAAGGTGAGAACTCTCAGCCGAGAAGAGTCTTGACCCTTCCTCAATTCCTCAACTAGCAAAGATGATCAAGACGGTGGAGTGGAGAGGCAACCAAGGTGAACGCGTAGCTGCTACTTTTGCTGCACTCAGGACCATTGCGACAGGATAGGATGCGTCATTGTGGTCGGATACCGACTCATTCATGACCACCCAAACACTCTCAGCGATGCAGAGGAAAAGGGCAGCGTTTGTAAGAAATGACTGTGTGTTGTTGTCGGGCCGACCTGGGGATCGGATCCACAGACGTGCATCCACCTTTTGCATCCTTTGCAGATGATATATATATATATAATTATATGTTATATATATATATATCTATTATACATGATCTTGCGCAAAACAACCTACTGTGCAGTTGGGTTTCAGTCAGCTCTACTGGTATCATTGGAGTGTTAGAAAAGTTCTAGATTTCTGTTTTCTGGAGGTCGTACTCTAATTTGAAGCCGGCTTTCACCCTCTGATGTCAGCGATGTCCCATGTCTTGAGTTCCTGTCGCCGGCCTTGGACGTTTTGGCTCAGCTGCGGGGGGTCCTCCAGTCTTTGGTGGAGGGACTGATGCCCAGTACCGAGGACGCAGGGACTGCCAATGACTGCCATTAACTGCCCTTATCGGTTGGAGGAAAAAAAACAGAACTCTTGCAGCCCAACCTATCCTGGCTTCATGTCTGTTCAGGAGTCTGGATCAACCGCAAACTCCGCGTTTGAGCCTAAAGTGGGTCCAAAGTTTGAAGCAAGTTGGATATACCCATGGCTCAATTAATTTCGTCTTTACTAAGGCGGAATAGTATCCACATAGTATGCCACATAGAGGGAGAGGGAGATATACATACATATATGGGCCCACCGTCATCCCACTCTTGGTTGCCTTGCCTGCTCTTGAAGCATTTTGAAGTGTTTGTGTGGTGCTGAACAGGTCTGCCAAAGCTGGTAAGGCTTCAAAGGAAGACACACTTGGGGCTGCAAGTTGTTCAACGTGCAGAGTTTCCATCATTTTAGTTGACTTTCTATCTTGGCATTTGATTAAGGTTTGATTTGGCCACTTGTCATGCCCTTGCAGCTTTGGTTTCCCTTCATGTCCTGGAGACGTGGAGTCTTCGCTGCTCGGCTCAGCAAAGAATAGGAAACCTGTCACAAGCTACCACTACCCCAAGCAAGCTTCAGGACGTACATCAGTTTGACCGCTCAGCTCTGTACCATCTCCACAAGTTGTTTCATCCATTTGTTGAATGTGATCCCTCCCGAGCACAAAATCGTTCATCACAACAGCTTATTGGGAGAGGCATTTCTCCGCAGCAGCACACCATCAAACGATCCAAGACACAGGCATCACAGTGGCCCTTTGGCATGCGGCCGAGCGAGTCAATTGGGCCAACAAGTGCCCAGAGTTATGCGGTTGCCAAAGGTCAAGAACAAGAACCCGGCCCCAGTGCAGGTGAAAGATGGTGAAAGATTGCGAAAGATGGTGAAAGATGGTGAAAGATGAGGAAAGATGAGGAAAGATGAGGAAAGATGATGAACAATTTCTGAAAAATGATTAAATTGAAGATGATTAAAGATGATGAATGGAATGACATTTCCACCAACTTCAACTGCCAGTTCCACCAACAACAGGCATATGGCTAGGACATTGACATCCATTACTCTGTTGGCCTTACTTTTAGCTGCCAGGTGACGGTGGATGATCTTATCGGGAGTTCTGCAGGTGCTCTTCTTTTCGCCCAAAAGTTGATCTGAGTGTAGCTAAGCTCGCATCATATTTGCTGTAATGCTGTGCTGGCTGACTTGCAAAGGCTCCAGATGCGTGTCTAGCTGTTCTCGCCCAACTCAAATCGCGAAAGGCAGAGGGGATGGTGGTGTCAAGGTGGTTCTTTTGCGCAGACTCGGTGCTGTCGATTGACTGCTGTTGCAGCGAGGCTTGTGTAACAGGCGACCAGGGCGTTTTTGCCGGTAGATGTGCCAAGCACACCAAAATCAGAAATATCAGAAGCAAAGAAATGTGGCTTGTTGAGGCATCTTACCGATCTTTAAGAACTTCAGGTTTCCTTAGTTTATCGTTTATTTCGTTTAGTTTTACCGTGTTTTTCTCTCACTTCAGCGGCAAGCGCGTGTCAAATTGCATAGGGCTTGCCATTGGAATAATTCTGACGATACCTATGACACAAGCTTGCGATGGCTCAAGCAGACAAAAACCTTCGTGCACTACATGAAGGGGTCAATCATGGCCGGCCAAGCACAAAATCCTCTCACGCGAAATATTTGGTACACGTCTGAGATGCACTGAAATGCTTATGTGACTCATGTACCCATGACTTGTAAGATCTTCAAGCAGTTCAGTGCTCCATCGTCGTGCTCCGAGAGCCATGGACTTTGGCGGCATGTTTAGCCTGCCAGAGGCGTGCAGCAAAGGATGCGAGGAGCAGGTCGCCTGGTGGCTGGCGCGGCTCGAAAAGAAACCGTGTCACTTCCGGCTTCAGCCAGCAGAACGAAGCCCATTGCATGCTGCATCGATGCATGGTCATGCTGGCTGTGTGGCTCTTCTCTTGGAATGCGGCTCGTTCAAAGTAGATGAGACAGACCAAGGAGGGGCCACAGCCATGGCCTATGCATGTGAAAACGGTTACCTGGATGTGGTCCAGATACTTTCATCCTATGGGGCCAGACGTACCCATTTGCGAGATGCGATGGGTGGATACTTTGCCTTTGAAGCTGCAGCAGGTCACAGTCACATCGTGCAGTGGTTAGCAAAGACCAGGGACTGGTGCACTCCATTGCACCATGCCAGTGTGCTACCTGTTGCACGTGTGATCAGCTTGCTCCGTGCCGGTGCTCGCTTGCACCACCGAAAAAGGGACCCCACCAAGTTGTGTGTCTCGCCCCTGGAGCTGGCGCGCGAAAACACCGAAGGTTCGGAGGCATCGCAGGCGTCGCAGGCGTGTAGATTGGTGGTGCTGGCTTCGCAGCCCTGGTGCGCATTGAATCACCATCTATTTCCGGATCCCTTGAGGCGATTGGCCAAATGGCTGGCACTGCTGGGGCATCATCTGTCCCAGAGATATGGCCGTCAACTTGCTGACATTTGGCGAATGTGTGTTATTCCCATGGTGGTTGACCGCCAACAGTGCAGATTCAGGGCTGGCTCGCAAGTCCCGAGCAAAGTTGGGCACTACCTCAAAATCCACCAATTTGCTGAGCGACTCCAGTGGGGGGCTTGATGGCGGTCATGTTTCAGCGTCCTTCAAGACAAGAAGGGCTATGTACAATCTAGGAATCTAGGACTATCTAGGAGTTATACCCTATAGTAGTATTGCACGCAAGATTTTGCCGGCAACGCCACACTTGGCTTCTCCTGGCCATAATTCAGCAAGAAAGATGAAGTGGTGATGCAGCTGCAACCAATTAAAGAAGAATAGCCCAGCTTGAAAACCACGCCGGGCAAACTGTGCTGACATTTGTGCGGATTATTTTCCAGCGTTCCGGGCCTTACCGGCCAAAGTGCACATCCACCCAATGTCAGATGCATGTCAAAAAGGGCTGGCGCAAAGGAGAGTCTTTCTAGATCTGGGTCCATCAGCCTACCAAGCTAGGGCTAGAATGATTTTTTTGACTGGCAAGGCACGGATGAAGCACCAACCGAGAAGCAGGTGCTGGGTAAGTTCTCGGGATTTTAGAGCCCAAAGGGAAGGAGGTTGGTTCATGGGAACCAAGGTGTCTTCCGCTTTAAGGGCCATGCGAGATGTGGAGTGGAGTAGCCATGTGCCTGCTGGAGCATTATAACACACTTCACTCCTTTGGTTTGACTCTTGCTGCGTTTGGCCCAGCTGTTTCCCCCGATGTGCTGTGACATGAACACAGATCAGCCAAATCAATAATCTGTAATCTATGTTACATCTATGTTCAAAAAGTGTGTGAAGTTCAGCTTGGCTTCTGTGCAACGAGTTTCTGACTCTATGTCCAAGTTTCCATAAGCCAGTTTTCTGCACATTGATCCACGCTGACTACCGAAGTTTGTCAAGCTTCATGAACAGCCTCAACTCCCAAGCCTTCCTGCGCTATGCCAAGTTGCCATGGCAGTGGCAAGCGGATGCAGGCAGGGTCGGGTACCGTCACTACCCATCCGGTGCCATGCGTCCCTGAGCCAGGTCCGGGGATGCGTGGAGCTGGCTATGCAGCAACGACCTGCGGTGCTGTCGACCCTGGCAAGGTCGCCACAGCTGCCATTGCAGACACTGTGGGACGACATGAGGGGCAAAAGGTGCTGGATAACTCCTACAATGAACTTGCATAGTTAGTTGAGTGGTAGACAGCTGATTTCAAATGATGATGATTTTTAATGGACCTTTTTGAAGTGAGTGGTGACGCATCTTTGGTGTGCAGGCGCCCAGTGCAGGTTGCATTAGCTGTGGCCACCCTCCATGTGCTGACTTCAGCAAATGGCTGTGACTCAGCAGAATGCTAGGCCGCTAGGTAAAGGGTTGATCAGTCATGATGATCATGATGCACCATGCAACGCGATTTGCTAAGGCTTCTTGTCTTGTGCGGCATGGTTTTCTCCCAACAGCTGGAGAAGGAGTGCTGGCAGCTGCTTGCCGAAAGAGCTTGAATGTGCCAGATTCGGGGAACCTCGCAGTTTTGCCCCGGTTGACTGCTTCACTTTGTTGCTGTCATGGGGTGAGATGTTTTCATATGTTTTCAAACTTTCATCAGTTGAAAGTATCGTGAAAGTTGAATGCTTTGATATGCTTCCAGATATTTGGAATGTGAAGTATCAGGTGGTGAAGGCATAGGGCTTTCTTGGAACCCTCGGAATCCGATGGAATCCACACATATCACATATCCACATCACTGTCACATCACCGTTTGTCATGCTGCAGCCAAGGTTCGGGGCCTCGTTTCCTGCGCGCAGTGAGCAGCTTGCAGGAACCCTTGCCGCTGGATGAGGAGTTGATGGGTTGGTCATGACAGTGAATGACT